TATTGGTACCATTACAAAGAAATTGTAATTACTTTTGCACCAGCCTAATACTAGTAATAAAATTAATGAACAAAGTTTCACATATTTTTACAGCTCTGTTTGTCTTTAGAAAATATTCCAACATGGATATGTAATCAAATCTTGTATTCTAATGTCACGGGATTGTTTTCTTTGTTACATTATTTTACTAATTTTGTATGCAACTACATTTGTTTATTTTCACTTATTTATAGAGAATGCGCTTTTAAATTTTAAAAAATATGTACATTATTTACATGATTCCCAAGCTGAAACTGTGTAGCAAGATATATCCAAAGAAGTCTTTGCATTCCTGTACCTTTCACGTTGTTCCTTCTCTCACCACATAGGTAGCCATTTCTATTTGTTTGTTTTCAGTTTTCTTTCCAATGTTTTCTTTATCAAATTTCCTGCGCCTTGCTTTTGTTTACCTTAATAATATATCTCAGTGGTTACTCCATGGGAGTGCGCAGAAACCTCCTTATTCCTTTTATACATTGTATAGTATTTCCTTGTGTGTTGTATCTGTGTCATAATTTATTCAGCCAATCTTCTATCAATGGGTGTTTTGATTTTCTCCAATCTTTTACCATCACAAATAACGTCATGATGAATAATCTTGTGCATTTGTCACTCTATATTGTTGCTAGTGTATTTTTTTCTCTTTTGTAAAGTAGGGCTAACAAAATTACTTTGTAGGTTTGTTGAGAGCATAAAATGTGATGTAGTGTATGATATGTTTGGTGTAATGTCTGGCACAGGACATTGCAGCTGCAAATATAATTAAGTTTAAAGTGCTACAATTCCTGTTTTAGGGTATTGTGGGAACACACTGGAGAGAGGTTTAATCCCAACTGTGTGTGTGTGTGTGTGTGTGTGTGTGTTGGACACAATGAGTGTGAATAGAAGTAGGGAAAGTGAGATAGAAAAAAATAACACCTCAGCTGAGGCTTGAAGGTGAACAGATTTTTGGGTCATGGGAGGATGTTCCGTGAAAAATAAACATATTGGAAGGTCAGATCATGAGAAAGAACAAGTATTTTTGAGAACTTCAAGTAAAACTTAGGTTACAAAGGAGAAGAGTGGTGGCCAATGATGTAAAGGTAAGCAAGTGGTGTCTACCTTCAGTAGACACTGAAGTGATTTTTCTGCTACTCAGATACTTAATTCTGAAGATGATGGAGAATTAGTAAAGGATTTTATGCCAAAAAAGGACATGGCAAAAATTTTTATTTTACAAAACTCATGCTAGCATTTTGTCTGGCATGCAGGAAATTCAGGCAAGAAATATGAGGAACTAAACTATGGCAGTGACTGTGGACATGAAAAAAATTATCCCCAACTCATTCTGGGGACTCTTTGATCTCTGACTTTATGACTCCAGCCTCTCCCAGTTCTCCATTAAAAAAATTTTTTTGCATGTTCTTCCAGCAGTTGTCCTCTAAGGAAGTTACTTCCTAAGACTGGATTTGAATTCTCTTCCTAGCTCTATACTCTTTTGGGGTGCTCTCATGTACTCTCATGGTTTCAAATGTTACCTCTATGCAATTGACTTGCATATATCTGCATCTCTGTCTTAACCTAACTCTTTCTGGAATTGCAGATTGGTATATGCAACTATTAGCTGAACATTTCCAGTTGGATTTCCTCAAACTCTTTGAACTTAGCATTTCTCAAACCAACATCCCGTCCTCTCCTCCAGCCCCTCCCCCAGACCCAAACCTTGTCTTTTTTGTTCCCTTCCTCATTACCTGCTTTACCACTTACTTGTCATTGAAACAAGAGCACTCCTTATATCTTATCCATACACTTCACAGATATCTTTGCCTCAGGTGCTGTCACATCTGTGGTCTGAGTCTAACTTTTCTATTTCCTCTGACACAGGCTTGGTTCTAGCCTTCATCACTCCTCAGTTGTACTATTAATTATCATAACTTCAATGGTTTCTCCTCCTTAATATTTTCCCCTCCCTCTACTTATCTTTTCTTCGAGAACAGTGCTTCCAAAATCTGCAGTGGATTCTGATTGTCTTCAGAATACAGGCCATGGTCCTTTGGTGAGACATTCAGAACTCTGTGGCTGCCCATCAGCCTGTCTTCCAACTCTGAGCTGCCACCATACTCCATGAACATTAGGAGGCTTAAAAACATCCACAGTGTTTTCCTTCAAGCTTCTCCTTGCATGATTCCTTGGGTGGCAGTGCCATTCTTCCTATTATTTCCCCTCCAAGTCCTCTTTACTTTTCAAGTTTCAGCTCTTAAGTTCCCTCCCCAGTGAAGCCCTGTTTTAACCAGTCTCCTGCCAGCTCTTAGCATAAATCAATCCCTCAGCATTTCTAAGAACCTTGGCTTTGCCAACTATGGCTATAATTGTCCTCCCTGGACTTGATTGTATATGTGGGTCTCCCTTACAAAACTATACATTCATAAAAACCTGTCATCATCCCTTAGATATGGTGGTGCTCAAAGTATCATCTGAAATTATTTATTATTATAATTTGTTACCTTTAGGTCAAGACAGCAAAATCAGCATAATGAAATTGGTTAGGTTCTGACAATTGTGACCAAACATTTTAACACATTGTACTGAATACTTAGAAGGAATCAAGAAGCATGCCCAGTGCTTTATAGACCTCATTGTCTTATTGGTCATGACTACCCTATAAGATACTTTCTGCTACTATGTCCACTTTATCAAAGGGGAAAATAGGATTTATGAACACTAATTAAATTGCCAGCATCATAAATCAGTAAAAGAAAAACTAGGATTCAAACTCTGCTATAAAAGACCTGTGCCTTAGACACATCAAATGCTTTCCTGCTCCAACACTGTTGAATACGAAGTGTGAGGTCAAAAGTCATTAAAATGTCCGTAGCCTGGTATGAGTTTGATGGGGTTCAGGAGATACTACACCAAAATATGGCACCTCAGCATTTGAGAAAACAGTGGAAGTGGAAATAATAGTCTCATCTTCCCTGTCCCTTCTCCCCTGAAGCAGGTTATAAGACCCTTATTCTATAGGTATGCTCCCTATACCTGGAAGACACAGGGACACAAATAACTCACAAGAACACAGGTACACAGATTGTTTAATAAAGAGTGTTGGGAAAACTGGCTAGCCCTGTGCAGAAACCTGAAACTGGACCCCTTCCTTTCACCTTATACAAAAATTAATTCCAGATGGATTAAATATTTAAACATAAGACCTAACACCATAAAAACCCTAGAAGAAAACCTAGGCAATACCATTCAAGACATAGGCATAGACATAGGCAAGGACTTCATGATTAAAACACCAAAGCAATGGCAACAAAAGCCAAAATAGACAATGAGATCTAATTAAACTTAAGAGCTTCTGCACAGCCAAAGAAACAATCACTAGAGTGAACTGGCAACCAACAGAATGGGAAAAACATTTACAAGCTACCGATCTGACAAAGGGCTAATATCCAGAATCTACAAAGAACTAAAACAAATATACAGGGAAAAAACAAACATCCCCATCAAAAAGTAGACAAAGGATATGAACAGACACTTTTCAAAAGAAGACATTTATGCAGCCAACAAACATGAAAAAATGCTCATCATCACTGGTCATTAGAGAAATGCAAATCAAAACCACATTGAGATACCATCTCATGCCAGTTTGAATGATGATCATTAAAAAATCTGGAGACAACAGATGCTGGAGAGAACGTGGAGAAATAGAAACACTTTTACACTGTTGGTGAGAGTGTAAATTAGTTTAACCATTGTGGAAGACAGTGTGGTGATTCCTCAAGGACCTAGAAATAGAAATTCCATTTGACCCAGCAATCTCATCACTGAATATATACCCAAAGGGTTATGAATTGTTCTATCATAAAGACACATACACATGTATGTTCATTGTGGCACTGTTTACAATAGCAAAGACTTGGAGCCAATCCAAATGCCCATCAATGATAGACTGGATAAAGAAAATGTGGCACATATACACCATGGAATACTATGCAGCCTTAAAAATGGATGAGTTCATGTCCTTTGCAGAGACATGGATGAATCCGGAAACCATCATTCTCAGCAAACTAACACAGGAACAGAAAACCAAACACCTCTTGTTCTCACTCATAAATGGATGTTGAAAAATGAGAACACATGGACACAGGGAAGGGAGCATCACACACTAGGGTCTGTTGGGTTGGGTGGGCTGGTAGAGGAGGGATAGCAGGGGGTGGGGAGATTGGGGAGGGATAACATTAGGAGAAATACCTAATGTAAATGTTGGGGGAATGAACTCAGCAAACCACCATGGTGTGTGTATACCTATGTAACAGTCCTGCAAGATCTGAACAGGTACCCAAGAACTTAAAGTGGAAAAAAAAAAAAAAAAAAAGAACACAAGGACACAGAGATTAATGTGAATAAATAGGCCTTGTTAAGTTCCCCTGGTATATTACCATTGGATCATACCCCCTTTGTTCAATCACACTTCTCCATGACTATCCATTTCTTCATCAAAGCTGGCTTTAAGTGGCTGGGTGCTGTGGCTCGTGCCTGTAATCCCAGCACTTTGGGAGACTGAGGCAGGTGGATCACTTGAGGCCAAAAGTTTGAGACCAGCCTGGCCAACATGACAGAACCCCATCTCAACTAAAAATACAAAAATTAGCCAGGTGTGGTGGGGCATGCCTCCTAGCTACTTGAGAGGCTGAGGCAAGAAAATCATGTGATCCCAGGAGGTAGAGGCTGCAGTGACCCAAGATCGCATCACCGCACTCCAGCCTGGCTGCATATTAATACTGTTAATATACTACTTAAAGAAGATGGAGTAGTAGCCCCAAGAGAAGACTCTGTCTAAAAAAAAGGGGAGGGGGCATTATAAATACACAGGTTTTCCTATTTATTTGTGTATTCAATTCTTATGGTTCCCATGTCACATGAAACTTATATTAAATAAATTTGTATAATTTTTCTCTCATTAAGCTGTTATTTTTTTATAGGGGCCTCAACCATGAACTTGGTGATGAGCTAGAGTAGATACCTTTCGATCCCCTACAAGACCTGTAAGTTCAAAACAAAATTTTGTGCATTTGCTGGCTAAGGACAATAATTCCTATAGTGGGCATATTAAAGACAAGAGTAGGAATATCATAAAATGATTTTTTAAAAGTCAAACTTGGAATAAAAGCAAGACAATTTGTTTATAAAGAAATATTTTGAATTTCCGAGGGATTTCCTGTTACTTTTAAAATTTACATTTTCTGAAATACTGTTAATATACTACTTAAAGAAGATGGAGTAGTGGCCCCAAGAAAGAAACTTCACAGACTTTAAATGTTGGTGCGTTGATTCAGTAAACATATCAGTAAATATCCGCTCTGTACTAGGTGCTGTGAGAAGATACAAAGTGGGATCAAATGTCTATGCATTGCTTATAATCTAACAGAGGGGATAAAAAAGTATACTCAGCAGGGTACGAGAGCTGGTGACAACCCATCACAGCTATAGAAGGGTTTCAGTTCCAGCTGTAATTTCCATGGGAATTCCATGGAGAGAGAGAAAATTCTCTATGCTACTGGGAGTAAATAGACTTTTGCTGAAGACAGCAACTGGGTGGGAAAGTTATGGAAACACAGTTTTGCCACGATCAGACTTACAACTCAAATAATTACTTTAAATCACTTGAAAAAAAATCCTTTTGTGATCTTCGGTCTCAGTCAGTCAAATAATCAATATATCCAGTTTGGTTAGAATTGTATAAGAAAGTCATACATTTTTTAAAACACTTCCCCTATTGCAATAAATTACAAATGATGAGATCTGTCAATAAGAAGCCTCTAATTATGTTAGAAATAAAAACCTTGACTTGATCTGGTTTGCAAGCACTTTCTGAGGTAGTACAGATACTGCCTAGTGTTTAATAAAAGGAACATACTGTCTCATTGAACTGAGAGTAATTTTGTGTTCCGCCTTCTACCTTGCCAAGAACTAGCTGTTCTTGAGACTTAGCACAAGTCCCTCAATCTCTTATTTTAAGCTGAGTAGCTAGATGATCTTCAAAATCTCCTCTGTCAGTCGAATGATTTCATTTAATATCGTCTTATTTAAGCCCATGCGAACAGTGGAAAAGATAGCAAAGAGTTCTCTAATTAGTGCAAGTCTATATAAAAGCTAATCATTGTGTGACGAAAAGAAATAAAATGCTCCCATTCTTAAAGTCAGACCATACTTCCCTGTGGCTACTTTGGGCTTTGGGTGGTCATGTTAAGAAAAGGCTTGCTTATGTCTATAATCCCAGCACTTTGAGTGGCCAAGGAGAGAGGATTACTTGAGGCCAGGAATTTCAGGCCAGCCTAGGCTATACAGTGAGCATAGTGAGACCTTGTCTTTACAAAAATAATTTTAAAAAGTACCCATCATAATGTAGTCCCAGCTACTTGGGAGGCTGAGGTGGGAGGATCGCTTGAGCTCAAGAGTTTGAGGCTGCAGTGAGCTATGATCATGCTAATGTATTCCAACTTGGGCAATAAAGAAAGACCCTGTCTCAAAAAAAAAAAAAAAAAAGAAAAGAAAAGAAAAGAAAAGAAAGGAAAAGAACATTTATTTCAGAAATGAATAAATAGAATTCATTCATCTAACAAATATTTATTGAGCACTTACTATGTACCAGGCACCATGTCAGGTGTTGAGGAACATGGTAGCACACAATTCTACAGAGGGACTTTTTATGGCCTTGTTTCTTCTCTCAAAGGTGTTAAGGACAAAAGAACTGCCAAGTAACTCTATGTTCTTAAGGAAGGAAGAGACCACACAAGTAGCAGATGCCAAGGGTAAACCAATGTCAGCTACCAGTCACCTCCAGCCTATAAAACAGTGGAAATTCAAGAGAGAGCAAGAGCAAGAGCAAGAGCAAGAATGAGAGTGTGTACATGAAGAGAAGGGGAGAATGAGAATGCATAGGAAAAAGTTGTCGGAAGCTTTAAGAGAACCAATGGAGACTTGATGTATGTGTCCTGGAAGTGGGGGAACTGCTGTTGCCTCCTGCCAACAGCCTAGAGGTTGGGGTGCCCCCGACTGGTATCAAAGAAAAATGGCGGTCCTGGGAGAAGATTTGCAACCAAGGTGCTGGATGAGAGAGAGAGAGATTACTTGAGGGCCCAGTGGTGGCAGAGCCCAAGCACACTGCCTGGAAGAACAGAAGGACCTCCAAATGGCATGAGTGAAGTGGATTGCTGGATGCCCACAGGCTGAGAGAGGCAAAGGAAAGCCTAAAGACAGCAGGAGAAGTGGCATGATCTACTTTAGAAAGGCATGGAGAGAGTTCTGCTTCTTCCTCCCTGCTAAAAAACAAACCCCAAACCCACAAGACAGCATCCTGAAAGCAAGGGATGATTGTACCAAACTCTCTGTTTAGAAGGAACCAAGAGCATATCATGACTGCATCTGCATGATAAGCATGTGCTCTTTGCCCACAAACTCTCTTCTGCTTCTTTGATGCTGGCTGGTGCAGGTCCAGGAGCTCGAGTTAGGACATGCTGGAGCAAGCTGGACACGCTGAGCTCTGCACTCAAGGCTTCTGTGCCTGCATCAGACCTAGGCTGCAGAGAGCTTTAACTTGAAGGATGTTACAAATGGTGCTTATTTCACTGATCTAGCTGTTTTCAAATCTGAAATTAGACTTTTCTAGGGAGGGGGACAGAAAAGCTCTGAGACTTGCCCATGATCCGAGGGGAAAAATATCCAGAGAGAAGGCTTAGAATGACTAACTGTGAAACAATACAGTTGCTTCATGAGCATAAGTCTTGTTCATTTAACAAGGATTTCACATTAATCACACAGACACACACTTCTACTATAAATGATCCAAAAACATTATAATGAAAATTTATTAATACCTAAAAATGGGTGTTTAGACCAGATATGCAAACCACTGCTTTAAGAAACTAAATGTAATAGACATTGAACACGGCTTTTCTTTCTCTTTCCCGTACCCCATCACTTTCTGTTCTCTAATGCCTCATTTATTTCTATCATTTCCAGCACTTGGGGACAATTTTAGTTTAGTTTGATTACATTCAGTCCCACGGTGGGGCTGTATAGAGATAAATATATCTGTAAGTCAGAAATACCGCAACTCCCAAGACTAATAATCGCATTTCCTTGTCATGTTGCTCTTAGTCAGAAAGTAGTGTCTGAAAACTAAAGAAGTACTCTTAATATATAGTTCTCTTCTAGGAACAGTATTTGTTGTTAGATCTTTGGTAACGTTTTGTGGGAAGGGATCTTTATCTTATATATCTCCTTCAAAGGTGAATAAGTAAGAATGAGCAAGTTGAAGAAAACTCAAGGTGAGACGTTTCTTTTTCAATAACGTTGAGTAGATAATGACAGCATATAGATACCTGTGTGTTTTTTGTGGCTTTTAAAAAATTTAAAGTATTACAACAGGCATTTGATTACCAAAATATATCCAACTTCAATGCTTAGTGAATGTGGTTATAATATTTGCTAGAACCTAAGTGCCCCCTTGGATTGATCTCCTTCTGCATTTATTCATCTTTTCTTACTTCCTTCAACCTCTGACAGTCATTGGAAGAGTTGTTTATCCTTGCGATCAAGGTGATTACCTTCTATAGCCTTAGGATGCCTCTGTCACTTTTGCTCTATGAATAAGTTCCTCTCTGTTCTATGGACTCATTCTCTCTCTCATGGCTTATGCTCAAGCCTCTAAAAAAATGATGAAATCTCCTTTGGGTTCTAATATTAGAACAAAAACCTTCCTTTTACTTTGCATCTCTGTGTAGCTACTACCTAATCATCCCTCTGTTAGCAATCATTTCCTAGAGGTCAAATTCAACAATTAATTGTCAGTTCATACTGTACTTATGACAACAGTAGTTATAATAACAACCCCCCCAAATTTCAGAACCTTGACAGAATAATTTATTTCTTGTTCAGTCATAGTCTGACATGGGTGTTTTTTAGGTGAGGATGTCCTTCCTCTGTGTGACAACTCAGGGACCCTCTCTTTTTCCTTTTCATTATCCTGTCATGAGTTAGGACCTTGGAGTCCTCTGCTTCCAGCTCTTAGAAATGGAATAAGAGGACAGAGGCGGCATACCCCTCTTTGAGTTGCCTTGGTACTCACATCCTATTGATTGAAACTAGTAAAATGGCACTACCAAAATACACATGAGGCTGGGGAATATATTCCTGGCTGGGTCAGTGGCAACTTTTTACTAAAGAAGGAGAAGCATAAATTTTCAAAGAAGTAGCTGTTGGCTATGATTTATTCTTGAAACTGTCTACTCTTTTCCATAGTTTTACAGAACTCTTTCCCGCCTCTCCCTTCGCCTTTCTAACAATGCAACATCTTCTCTCTGTTCCTTCCTCTCACGTGTCACTGTGTGTCAGAGCATGATTTTCACCATTTTCTGCCCTCTCCACACAAGATTTTACAGATTCAACTAAAATCAACATACTAATTGCTCACAAATTTCTATCTCCAGCCAACTTCTCTCTGGAACTTCAAACTATGTGTTAAATATTTTGTAGACTCACCTACTGGAAAACTAATAGTCACCTTGAATTTGTTGTGTCTGAAGCTAAACTCTTTATCTCGTCTCTCTCTAATCTTCAAACTGAATCCTGCTTCGACATTAACTATGTGTTAACTAATACATGGTGACTGCAGTAACGTTGTCATATATTTATTCAACCAAAACAGAAATCTGGGAGTCATCCTAAAATACCGTTTTTCACAATTCTCCCCCTTCCTATGCCCCTCTTCCCATTAAAAATCAACCTCTATATAGCATTATTTTAAAGTATTTTACAAACTATTTCATCCATTGTTTCAAGAGCCTTATTTTATATTAATAAAATGGTTATTTATTATATTCCTCTCGATAACACAAAAGCAGATGCATATATTGTGATGGTAAATTTTAGGTGTCAACTTGACTGGATCATGGGATTCCCATATAGATGGTCAAGCACTATATCTGGTGTCTCTCTAAGAGTATTTCTGGAAGAGATCAGCACTGATTCAGTAGACTGAGTG